CGACTTTTCAAAGCACAGAATTACAATGAAAACCGAACGATTGTACGACGAAACGCACCCAGAATTCGTAACCATCGTATTTCAGAAATCTGTAAACATGGGTGTATTGAATTACAAAAACTCACACAATCGCTTGTAAATGGGAAAACACAACAAGAACAAAACGTGGCGAGTGTTATAACAGACTTTCAGCACTCTAATAATGTAACGGATATACCATAATTATAGTGATGTGTTCATTAAAACGTATTTCAGAACAACAGCTATGATTACAGTTTTATAAAAAGCGTAAACACCGAGCGTCAAAAAATCTTCGCTCACACTAATCCCATAGTCAATACGCTCTTCTATAATAAAACTAGTTTTATTTTGTCTATCCGTGCAACGTGACTTCATTAAAAATTCAATGCAAATCGGTCAGAAAACGCATTATTTACTCATAATAAAGCATTCTCTTGTCAAAATGAATCACGTATTAAACCTGAACAAATTCAGAATGTCGTATTGTAAAACTCGAAATGATTTACTGGATTTTTTACGAGTTGGCAACACAGCAACAGGTGTGCAGTTGTTGTTATGCAGCATTTTTCGAAAATTACGTAACTGTGGATAACGCCGTCAAAATCCCGGCCGATGTGGCGGTGGCAGCCACATTCACATGCGGTAATTTGATCACCGTGGCAACCGGCTTAATCGTCAACCAACGAAACGCGGTAGGTGGAGCCACGATTTATAAGGTTATGACCAGCTCGGCGCGGTCTCATGTTTTTCGTGATGGTAAATAAACACTTGATTGATTAATCCAAGAGCGATTATCTGCGGACACGAGTGTGGCAAAAACAAAGCGAAAAAGGCTGGGGGGCATTGATCTTCCATAATTACATAAATCATAAAATTGTTAATAATTTAATGAATGCATCAGTTTCGTAAATGAGTATTTTTAGAAAGGCAACCCACATCGTACCTGCGGGTCATTAAAACCATTAACTTCTTACGAATTCTGCCACTGCCACAGTTCCTAAGGCTTGTTAAGGAGCGTGGAACGACGGAAATACGAGTATGTTCGGAGAGGTTATTTATGGGATGTTCCCAGTGGAATATTCAGCAGACAATGTGGCGGGGTAATTATTTATTTCGTGTGAGCGAAAATTGGGCCCGGGCCAGGTTTACACGAGCGAAAAATATGAATAATAGTAATAGTTGCTGTGTTTATTGTTCAATTGACATGCAGTTGTTGCAAAAAATATATACAAGTAAATCAGTTTTGACGTATTGTCTCATTTACCAAAATTTATATTCATCAGATGGTGGACAGATATGGTAACTATACTTACGTTTTGGTCGACAGTTTTATTGTCTCGTCACATACTTTGACGTGTTTTATTTGTACAAGTTATAATACAAAGTAGGCGGCGTGCAGCAGTCAAAATTATCTGGATTTTCTTCCGCAAGTTCTTGCAATGTTTTTCTATGATCGTTAGTGTATGGAAGGCACTTTTTGGAAAAAAACTATACAATAACAGACACTTTCAAAATTTTCAGAATTTGCAAAAAATAAGATTTAGGTGTCTTAGGATTTTTAACATGTTCTAAAAATTGTCTGGCAACTATGTATGATTGCCAATTTGAACATTTTTTTTATTATTTTTATTTAATTGTAAAAATACTTTGAGAAGAATCACAATATATAGTAATTTTATTGAGATACATTTCAGTGTTTCGAGCTAAAACAAAATACAAATCATGGTACGGTGGTATTTTTTTTCAGAAATGTCAGAAAAATTTGGGTAAAAACCTTAGAATTTGATTTCTCTTCAAGTATTTTCTCTAAAATAAATATGGAAACTTTTTTTGCAATGTCTGGAACATTTTTGCCTTTTTCTTAGATTTACTTATACAAGAGCGATGTCAGACGAGATATTTGAAAAAAAAATTAGCCGAGACTAATAAAAGAAACAGTCATTTTTTCGTGTTGCATAATATAAAAAAAACAAAAAATATATTTCTCGAGTTTATGGGGTCATCATTTGAAGTTTTCAAGTACTCGACTCCGGGGGTTTTTTGATCCGAAAAAATGATTTTTTCCAGATTGACAGTTCGATAAACCGAAAAATGTCATTTTTCTAAAGGTTGTAATTTATAAAAAATATAAAAAAATCAGAAAACTTCCTTACTCAAATCTTAACTTGTATTCGTGTTTAGAAGGTTCAAACTAGTAAATACAGCAAATTTCAGGAATTTTCCTTATCGAATAAGAAAGTTAGTAGGTACATAAAATAAATAGGTACTCATTTGCAAATTCTAATATTTCAGATTTTTTTATAAACACTCTGTATATTAAGGGTCAATTTAACTTACACCACAATAAAGCATGTAAAATTAGATCACAACAAAGCCCGAACCTTGGTCCTTCTGCCCACAAAATATTGTAACACAAATTTTAAAAATAACTCTATTGTGATTTTTTTTTGCGAAACTTTGCATTGATAAAATTTTTAAAAAAATTGGCAACGTCGCAAATAATTTCAAAATTGGACTAAAATTTTAAAGACTGTAGGAAGAAGACAACAAGATTATATTAAAATACATAGGGTGTTATAAGATTTAAAATACGTAAGTTGCAACCTTCTCAAACACAGAACACTCTGTACATATAGTTGTAAATAATTTCGAAGTATGATACTCAAAGAATGTACAACTTTAGTCTCCGACTTTTTTTTCAACAATAATTGACCAGATATGGAAAAATAAACGCTTAGTGACTCACCGTGTATATAATATCGAGAGAACACTAAAAAACACGATCAAGATACCCATGGATATTTAAAGATTAGTCTTTGATCATTGCACTTTCAAGCCACTTTGACAAGATGAAAATTTTATCAAAGACAAATCTGCAAAAATCCATGGCTGTCTTTGAGCGCATGTTTCTGCCGCTTCGTGTATACTAAATAGAGAAACACCAAAAAAACTTATTTTAAACCATTTTTTTTTTGTAAATATACTTGGACTAAACTAGATATGTCTTTTGTAAAAACCGGTTTTATTTTGGCAGATACTAGCCCCGCCCACCCACCCTCTCTTTTATTACAGGGTATGTGATTTGCCAAAATTGGTCTTATTTTAGCAGGTACTAGCCCCGCCCACCCACCCTCTCTTTTCTTACATAATAAAGAATTCTTTTATAATTTCTTTGGGACTCCCGAAACCCCCGTACATAACCTACTGAAGAGTTAATCCGCTATTTTCCAGACACCCGGTATACAGTCAAATCTATGCGGCCTATACCTATTTTGAAAGGGAATAAAGATATTGAAATTCCGTAGACGCCATTGTTTGTAGCTTTAAGAGTAAGTTCAATTCAGATTAGTTCCAAAATGAGCCCCAATTTCTAAGTTATTGTTATCCCCAAAAACGAATAAATTTTATTTTACTATTTTTTGAGAACCTGTGACTATCTAAATTACCATATATAGTCAAAACTATGCGGCCTTATATTTTGAAAAGGATTACAGAAATTTCGTAAACGCCATTGTTTTTAGCTTGAAGAGTAAGCTCAATTCAGATTAGTTTCAAAATTAGCTCCAATTTCTGAGATACCGTAATCCCCAAAATCGAATAAATTTTATGTTACAATTTTTGAGAACCTGTGACTATCCAAATTATTATACCGGCTGTCTGTCATTTGCCAAAATCAGTCATATCTTACCAGGTACTAGCCCCACCCACCCCCCCCTCTCTTTTTTAGAGAGTATGTGATTTGCCAAAGTAGGTCTGATTTTAGCAGATAGTAACCTCGGCCATGCGCCCTCTATTTTCTTACAGGGATCTCATTTGCCAAAATCAGTTATATCTTAGCAGGTACTAGCCCCGCCCACCCACCCTCTCGTTTATTAGAAGGTATGTGATTTGCCAAAATCGGTCTTATTTTAGCAGGTACTAGCCCCGCCCACCAGCCCTCTCTTTTCTTACATAATAAAGATTTTTTTTATAATTTCTTTGGGACTCTCGAAACCCCCGTACATAACCTATTGAAGAGATAATCCGCTATATTCCAGACACCCGGTATACAGCCAAATCTATGCGGCCTATACCTATTTTGAAAGGAAATAAAGATATTGAAATTCCGTAAAGGCCATTGTTTGTAGCTTGAAGAGTAAGTTCAATTCAGATTAGTTCCAAAATGAACGCCAATTTCGAAGTTACACTTATCCCCAAAAACGAGTAAATCTTATTTTGCTATTTTTTGAGAACCTGTGACTATCTAAATTATCATATGCAGCCAAAACTATGCGGCCTTATATTTTGAAAAGGAATAGAGAAATTTCGTAAACGCTATTGCTTTTAGCTTGAAGAGTAAGCTCAATTAAGATTATTTCCAAAATTGGCACCAATTTCTGAGTTACTATTATCGCCAAAAACGGATAAGTGAATCTTAAGGTATTTTACTATTTTTGGAGAACTTGTAACTATCTAAATTATTATATACGGTTAAAACTATGCTACTTTATATTTTGAAAAGGTATAGAGATATTGAGATTCCGTAAACGCCATTGTTCGTAGCTTAATTTAGCTTCAGAAGTCAAACACCCACATCAAGAACCGTAAATCCGCAGCATTCCCACTAGATTTTTCCGTGTAGACTATCCAAGAGCATCGCTATTTATATAAAAACGCCACCAAAGTCACTAAGTTCATACAATAAACAATGCTTTTAGCTCAGAAACACCGCCCCCGGCTGATACATCGTCACGACGTCGCTGCTTATTTAACCAATTCTCCCATTCCCACTTACTACGCAACCGACTCGATATTCCAACCACACAATCGCTGGAAGTGATACCAAGCTTTTCCATTTGACCGAAACCGCTGACAGCGGATCTACGACTTTCGCATTGTTTCGTTAATTCGCCACCGATGACGTCACGTCCAAAATCGAGCTCGCTCGAACAATCGCGTATGCGCTTGCCACCACTCACCCGCCCGCCCCCAAAGGATACATTCTAACATATCAGCTACACTCTGTGGCACCTCGTCCGCCTTCCTCGCGAACCTCGCGACTTCTTTCCTGAGGTCATGGAACGTGCTATAGTAACGCGGCAGATCAATTTCCTTCCTACATGCTTCCGGATAGAGACATTGCCTCAGCGGTAACTGTCCGTCGGTCACAAACCTGAAGCCGGCACTGTGCGGGTCGACGTGCAGGCCGCCGCAGTACGCGTCGAACTCGTTGAGGGCGTCCTCGAGCTGCCTCCCGGTGGATTTGATGAGCTCGTCGGTGAGGACCGACTCGGAGGTGAGCTGCTCGGAGAGGATGTTTTCGTTGATGTCGGCGGTTTGCGGCCTGATTGGGTACTGCTGGACGCCCACGATCTGGAACAAACGCAAATATGCAGTGCAGATGTAAGATGGAGGCGGCGGGAGGAAGGCGACCGCCACACAAAGGATAGCGGTTTTTTCAGATGGGAGTTATGATGTGTGTGGAAGGAATGTTTATTGTGGCCGGGGGTGGGATCGGATGCGGGTACGAGGATGGGAGATGCGAGATCGAGGTTTTAATTAAAGTTGTAGTGTGACAGGCGGGGGCGTCTTTTGATGGTTTTTCTTATTAGGATTTTAGAGCGGAAATTATTAAAAAAAATGACTGACAAGATGATTCCGTGAAACCGAGTCAAGCAGATGGAGCCAAGGGACATTCTACTTGTCCAGGATTCCTCGGATTTTATTCCGTTACTATAACCGTATTTCTGGTTTCCTTGTATATTTCCTCTATCCTATTAACTACACATCTGTTTGACGTTTTTTCATCATTCCGTTTACTGAGTGCTATATACCTGTTCGCAACGTGTTATTATTTTACTGAAGACCACAAAAGATCTAAAATATTTGTGTATTTTATAAACCTCAAGATTTATGGTTAAAATTAGTTATACAATAGTGTTCTGAACCGCCCTATATACCTACTAAAAAAAAATTGGGACCCCCGAGCAGGTTTCACTTTTTTAAAAAATACATTATTTTGGGGTCCCGAGAAGCTTTTACATTAAAAACAAAAACAATTGAGACCCCTGAGAAGGTTTCACATTAAAAAAAAGACATTTGTTCCCTCGAGAAGATTTAATATAGTTAAAAAAAAAGACACTTGGGGCAGTCGAGAAAGTTTTGCCTTCTATTAAAAAGAATAGTTGGGACCCCAGAGAAGGTTTCACATTAAAAAAAAATGCATTTGGGGCTCCCGGGAAGGTTTTCATTTTTAAAAAGATAGTTGGAACCCCCGAGAAGGTTTTACATATAAAAAAAAGTACATTTGGCGCCCCTAAGAAGGTTTTACATTAAAAAAAAAACATTTGTGGGCCCCGAGAAGATTTCACATAAAAAAAAGATATTTGGGGACACCGAGAAGGTTTTACATTTTTAAAGAAGACAATTGGGACTCCCGAGAAGGTTTTACAAGTTTAAAAAATACATTTGGCGCCCTCGAGAAGGTTTTACATTTTTAAAAAGACATTGTGGCCCCCGAGAAGATTTTACATTTTTAAAAAGACAGTTGCGACCCCCGAGAAGGTTTCACATATAAAAAAAAATACATTGAGCGCCCTCGAGAAGCTTTTACATTTTTAAAAAGACAATTTGCACCCCCGAGAAGGTTTCACATAAAAATAAGACATTTAGAGCCCCCGAGAAGATTTAATAATCTTAAAAAAAGACACTTGGGGCCCTCGAGAAGGTTTCGCCTTCTATCAAAGAGAACCGTTAGGACCCCTGAGAAGATTTCAGACATAACAAAAAGATATTTGGGGCCCCCGAGAAGGTTTTCATTTTTAAAAAGACAGTTGAGACCTCCGAGAAGGTTTCACATATAAAAAAGACATTTGGCGCCCCCGAGAAGGTTTTACATTTTTAAAAAAGACACTTGTGGCCCCCCAGAAGGTTTTACATTTTTAAAACAGACACTTGGGTCCCTCGAGAAGGTTCCACATATAAAAAAAAAAAACATTTAGAGCCCCCGAGAAGGTCTTACAATTTTAAAAAAGACATTTGTCGCCCCCGAGAAGATTTAATATTCTTAAAAAAAGACACTTGGGGCCCTCGAGGAGGTTTTGGTTTCTTAAAAAAAAAAAAAAACAGTTGGGACCCTTTTTTAAAGAATTTGAAAGAACTTCGGGGACCTCCAGTGTCTTTTTTCAAAGAATGTCAAGAATCTCAAATTCTCCAAGTGTCATTTTTTTTCGGGGATCTCTAGTGTCTTTTTTTTTAAGAATATCAAGAATCTCTTTGTCCCCGATTGTCTTCTTTAGAAATGAGAAAGATTTGCTGGGTCCCCTCCATATGAGATTATCAAGAATATCAAGTTCCCCAAAATGTAATTTTTTTAAGAACTTGAAAGAACCTCGAGGACTTCTAGTGAGTTTTTTTCCCCCTAAATGATAAGATTCGCAGGAGTTCCTAATGTCTTTTTTCTTGAAAAAATTTCAACTATATCAAGGATCTTTTTTTAAAAGTGTCAGAAATCTCCAGGTCGTCTTCTTTTTAAAGAATCTCAAGAATTTGAAGGTCTTCGAATGTCATTTTTTAAGGACCTGAAAGAACTTCGGGGATCTCTAGTGTCTTTTTTCCAAGAGTGTCACAAATCTCGGCAGTTCGTAGTGCCTTTTTTTTCAAGAATGTCAAGAATCTCAAGGTCCCGGATTGTCTTTTTTTTTAGGAATGAGAAAGATTCTCTGGGCCCGTTGAGTGTCTTTTTTAAAAAATGTCAAAAATTCCAAGTTCCTGACTCTATTTTTTTTAATGAATTTAAAACAAACTCGTGTACCTCCAGTGTCTTTTTTTAAGATTGTTAAGAATATCCATTTCTCCAAATGTCTTTTTTAGGAACGAGAAAAATTTTCGGGGTGCCTCTAGTGTCTTTTTTCAAAGAGTGTCGAGATTCCCAAGTTCTCAAAATGTCTTTTTTTTTAAGAGTATGAAAGAACTTTGGGGATCTCTAGTGTCTTTTTTTTTAAAGAATATCAAAAATTTCTTTGATCCGATTGTCTTCTTTCGGAATGAGAAAGATTTTCCCCTGTGTCTTTTTTAAAAAAATATAAGAATATCAAGAATATCAAGTTCCCCAAATGTAATTTTCTTAAGAACTTGAAAGAATCTCGAGGACTTCTAGTGAGTTTTTTTCCCCCTAAATGACAAGAATCGCAGGAGTTCCTAGTCTCTTTTTTTTGAAAAAACGTCAAATATCCCATGGATCTTTTTTAAACAGTGTCAAAAATCTCCACGTCCCCGATTGTCGTTTTCTAGGAATGAGAAAGATTCTCGTCTTCTTTTTAAAGAATGTCAAGGATTTGAAAGTCTTCGAATGTCATTTTTTAAGGATTTGAAAGAACTTCGGGGATCTCTAGTGTCTTTTTTCCAAGAGTGTCAAAAATCTCGGGAGTTCGTAGTGCCTTTTTTTAAAGAATGTCAAGAATGTGAAGGTCCCGGATTGTCTTTTTTCAGGAATGAGAAAGATTCTCTGGGCCCCCTTGGTGTCTTTTTTTAAAAATGTCAAATATCCCAAGGATCATCTTTCAAAGAGTGTCAAAAATCGCCAGGTCCCCGATTGTCGTTTTCTAAGAAGGAGAAAGATTCTCGTCTTCTTTTTAAAGAATGTCAAGAATTTGAAAGTTTTCGAATGTCATTTTTAAGAATTTGAAAGAACTTCGGGATTCTCTAGTGTCTTTTTTCCAAGAGTGTCAAAAATCTCGGGAGTTCGTAGTGCCTTTTTTTAAAGAATGTCAAGAATGTGAAGGTCCCGGATTGTCTTTTTTCAGGAATGAGAAAGATTCTCTGGGCCCTCTCGGTGTCTTTTTTAAAAATATCAAATATCCCAAGGATCTTTTTTTAAAGAGTGTCAAAAATCGCCAGGTCCCCGATTGTCGTTTTCTAAGAATGAGAAAGATTCTCGTCTTCTTTTTAAAGAATGTCAAGAATTTGAAAGTTTTTGAATGTCATTTTTAAGGATTTGAAAAAACTTCGGGGATCTCTGGTGTCTTTTTTCCAAGAGTGTCAAAAATCTCGGGAGTTCGTAGTGCCTTTTTTTAAAGAATGTCAAGAATGTGAAGGTCCCGGATTGTCTTTTTTCAGGAATGAGAAAGATTCTCTGGGCCCTCTTGGTGTCTTTTTTAAAAAATGTAAAAAATCACAAGTACCTGAATGTACTTTTTTTAATGAATTTAAAACAAACTCGGGGACCTCCAGTGTCTTTTTTTAAGAATATTAAAAATCTCCATTTCTCCAAATGTCTTTTTTAAGAACGAAAAAAATTTTCGGGGTTCCCCTAATGTCTTTCTCAAAGAATGTCGAGATTCTCAACTTCTCTAAATGTTATTTTTTTTAAGAGTATGAAAGAACTTCCCGAATCTCTAGTGTCTTCTTTTTAAAGAATTTCAAGAATCTCTTTGTCCCCGATTGTCTTCTTTAGGAATGAGAAAGATTTTCTCCCGTATCTTTCTTTAAAGAATATAAGAATATCAAGAATATCAAGAATATCAAGTTCTCCAAATGTTATTTTTTTAAGAACCTGAAAGGGCCGCGAGGACTTCTAGTGAGTTTTTTTTTTTTTCTAAATGACAAGCATCGCAGGAGTTCCTAGTGTCTTTTTTTTGAAAAAACGTCAAATATCCCAAGGATCTTTTTTTAAAGAGTGTAAAAAATCTCCAGGTCCCCGATTGTCGTTTTTTAGGAATGAGAAAGATTCTCGTCTTCTTTTTAAAGAATGTCAAGAATTTAAAGGTCTTCGAATGTCATTTTTTAAGGATTTGAAAGAACTTCGGGGATCTCTAGTGTCTTTTTTCCATGAGTGTCAAAAATCTCAGGAGTTCGTAGTACCTTATTTTAAAGAATGTCAAGAAGTCAAGAATCTCAAAATCCCGGATTGTCTTTTTTTTTAGGAATGAGAAAAATTCGCTGGACCCTCTTAGTGTCTCTTTTAAAAAATGTCAAAAATCTCAAGTTCCTGAATGTATTTTTTTTTTAAACAATTTAAAACAAACTCGGGAACTTCCAGTGTCTTTTTTCAAAGAATGTCGAAATTCTCAAGTTCTCCAAATGTCACTTTTTTAAGAATTTGAAAGAGCCCCGGGGACCTCTGGTGACTTTTTCTGCTAAATGCCAACAATCTTAACAGTTCCTAGTGTCTTTGTCTTTAAAGAACGTATAACATCTCGAGGATCCTAGTGTCTTGTTTTAAAGAATTTTTTGAGAGAATGTTAAGATTCTCAAGGTGTTCGAATGTCATTTTTTTCGCGTGGTGGGGTAATAAAAAAATTGTAATGACGACATAAACATAGATAATGCACGCTGCCAGAGAAAAAGAGAAAAATGGGAAGAAAAAAAACCGA